GCCGCGCTGCCCAGGCCTCGCCGCACCTCACCTCTGGCAGCTGTGGGGACGGAGGCGGGACGTTCCCCTCCCCGGAGCCCTGTGGAGGCTTTCCCCGCGTGTGCTGGGCAAACCCGTTCCCTTCGGCAGAAGGCGGTTAGGCAAGCTGGCAGCGACTGGCACTGCAGAGAGCGAGCCTGATTATGGTAACCATCTTGCCTGAATGAATTGTCAGGTTTTCTACAAACCAGATACTTAAAATCAACTTAGATAATATGCTCACATAGTTCCTGCCATGCGTTTTCCCAAGCATGCAGAAAGAGATGAAGGTAATGGCCTGTAAAAGCTTTAAAACAACGAAGTTGTGCAGCTGAGGTGTATCTCTTGGAGCATTACTGTTACCAGTCAGTTACACCAATGGCAACACAGATGCAATTGTTTGTGCTCTGGGAATGGCATTCAGGATGGGACATCATCTATTCTCAAGTGTAGAATGGCAGGTTGAAGCAGTTTTATGTATGGACCATGCTCACAGAGCAGAGAGCACTGGGGAACTGATGGGAATGACTAACTGCTCTGCTCTTTGTCATTTTTGTAATGTTCTCAAATTTTATGGAGCTTTAATAGTATAGAATATCAAGGTTTTGGGTTTTGTTTTTTAATGCCATATCTCTAGTTTTTTATAACACATCTTCTCTGGCATCATTTTGGCATCTTATGGCCCCCTTCTTTGGTATTTCCTGAAAGCCGAGATTTAAACAATTGGCTTTCTCTTTTACATGCCCAACCAAAATACCCTAAAAGGACTAATTTTAATTTGAAGGGCTTACACTTTTTTAAAGAAGTAGTGCCTGGTGTGTGTTTTGAATCAAGGGCTAAAAGGCAGGGCAGTCAAAATGAGGAATCATTCATCATTCAAGAGTATGTAAAATGTTGAACTTCAGTCTTAACATAGTTAATATCATGTTTTCTGTACTTTCATTTGCACTCTGAGTTGTACAAATTTTAAAAAATCTTGCATTTTGTAAAATCCATTTCAACTACAGTATAGTTTTGTAAGTCAGTCTCCGATGGCAATAAAATGTGGTTCTGTTTTCGGATATTTCATACAGTATTAAGTGAGTGTTTGGATAGGAAGATGCATTGCTTGTATGTGTCCATTTAGGAATCAGACTGAAGAATAATGAATTAAAATGACTGATATGATGACAACTGTAAGACAGAGAAAGGTTGGAAAAGGCACAGAAGGAGCTGAAGATCAGCCTTCAGAGGAGAAGAGTGTAAAGCCTGATGGAAAAAATCTATCTGGTGGGTAATGAAAAGGATTGTAACATTTTGCCTTTCTAGCAGTGTTTAGCTTTTGGTATTTATCATAAGCATAGGTTAGAACTAGGTATGTACCAAATATATTTGCATCCTTGAATAAAATTAATTGCATGAGGTAGAGGGCATGCAAATTACTGCATATCAATCTCATCTTGGTTTTAAAATCCTAATTTAAATTGGTGAGAGTAGTTTTTGTCAATTTAGCATCAGTGAGACACTCAGATTTCATATAGCCATCATAGGTTCTTAAACAAATCCAAGTCTAAATCATTGGTAACATTAAAGGATTTGAAGACCTGTAATGAGTGCTGCTTAAATGTAAGCAGGTTGCACATGAGATCTGAATTTAGCTGCAAACCCTTGCTTTTTGACTGTAGGACAGACTAGCTAGGTAAATTTAAATGAACCATTATATGTCTTAATTCAAGGATCTGTTTAAGCAATGAAATACTGAGCATTTTTGTATGGAATTGCAGCTTTAGAGTTGGCAGTTTCTTGGGTTTGGTTTTTTAATTATTTTAAGGGGCATTTTGATATAAATTGCAAATGTTTTTATATATGTAGTTTGGGTAGATGTGGGGAAACAACGTCACTCTCCTTTCAAGTGCGCTTAGGCTATGTACAGAACAGGAATTTGATCACAGTTCTTATTCAGGCCAGCCCTCAGTTCGCTTGAGCTGCATATTTGGTACCCATTATATAGATGTCAGACACAGTATGAGATAGCCATTTCACAGATAGAATTCCAGATCACCAGGATCCATATTAAGTCTTATATCAACATTTAAAAAAAAAAACACCACCCCCCACCAC